GAGGGAGTGCTGCATACGCTCCACGTCGACAAGTCGATGAAAGGCTTCCAAGGAAATATTCTATTTTCAGTAAACTAGTATTATCAATGCTGCTTTTACTACGCGATCTTCGTTTTTTTTTAAGGAGAGTGCTTCTATGACATTGGTCATGTCCCTCCAAACTCGAACAACTGTTCCGAAGATGAAGGAATTCGGGACGTTCAAAGTGACGACGATCTTGAAATGGCATCGTGCAGCAGTTATCCCGACGATAGTCCTGTCCTTATATCCGTTGGTGGGTTCAGACTTGAAATTTCCATTTGATTCCCTCGATGGGAATAGTATGCATCTGGTGGGGAGCTTTTTCCTGTGTTATTTTTTCTTCTTTTGTAGCTGAATCGTTTTTCAACTGAATAGTAAGCGTTTCACAAATAAGTTGAGAAGAAGCCATGAAGATCTCTTTTTGAGAATGAATCCAAGCAAATGACCATTTCAGAAAGATATCTCTTAAAATGTCCTTCATAGAAAGGCAACTATTACCCTTGTTGAAGCGCTTTATATGTTTTTATGTCGATCTTTAGACAACTTGCAGTGATTGCTAATCCCAAAAATGATTTTTAGTATGTTTATTGAGAACTTCTTCTGCTACTGAAGATGTATGATGGATTGATCCGCTCATTCACTATTTTCGATTCGCCTTGCTTTCGGCTTCTATTTAGAATCGTAGAAAAAGGAAATATAACTTTGACTCGCGCAGTGAGCTTATGAGTGCAATGCGATGCTTGAGCCACTACTCTCTTCATAGGGTCGCTTTCAAAAAACGTTTTTCACAGCCATGAAATTTCCGACATGAACATTTGGTTTGGTTTGTTCTCTCCCTCATCATGTTATGTTTTAGCAAGGGAATACGTCGAATTCCCATTGTTTTCTTTTTTGTGCTTGCTTGAGTTTCATCATCGATCGATTTTCTTTAATTTGTTACAAAGTCTACTTCCCTATGGTTAACAATACCTATCCCTCTCCCGCCTTCTTCGTCACTTTTTTGAGCTTCGAGCTTGAGTCCAGTTTTACGGAATCCTGTTCTTACCATAGGTGTAGATATTCCTTCCCTCAATCATGAAATTTGCGCTGTTCTGTTCGAATCGCGTTTTATTTCGATTTTCTAAAGTGAGCTTATTGAGTCAGAGATCCCGTCGCTTAGACTGGTGAACTACTAGAGTAAAATAGTTTC